TGGGTTTTTTGTTAGTTTTTTTTTAGAGTGGGGGAAGCCTTCGTGATGGTCTTGTGTCCTCTGTGCTGGGTGTGCAGCCCAACACAGAAAAACCCCCACAAAACAATACAGAAAGTCCTAGTTCATTTAATTAATTGTCCACTGTCCACTTACTTAAGGGACCTCGTTACAAACATATCCTCATCACAATGACAGGAAATCTATCTGAAAAGTCTGAAAAAAGGCTGTTAATGAAGAGAGTTTCTAATGCCTATGAGCTGAAATACCTTTTCACTCCTTTCGCCAGTAGTTCCTGTGGGTCATTTCTGGGGTCAGCAGTGGTGTGCAGAGTAAAGACTCTGCCAGTGCTGGAGAAGAAAAAGAAAAAAAAAGAAGAAAAAAGTATTTCAGTATTGTCAATCTTTTATCCTTGAACGATACACTAGAGGCTGACATTTAATACCCTAAGGATATAGATGTTTGAAAGCTGGTTATTGTAACAAAGGAAACCATCCAAACTCTGCAAGACCAAATGGATCAGATAAAGCTGACACTGAGATAAATCTGTTTTACATCCATTCTTGCAAAAGTTTTGCTAATCTATGTAGTTATAGCTTTCCTGGAGAAAAAGAGAGAGGAAAAAAAAAAGAACCCTACATTAGAGCAAGTCAACATGTTGCCTCTATTTGTAATCTCCAAAGTGTAATGTCATGGTTAGAGAACATTTTTCTCCTGGATCTTGGGTGAACTCTACAAAAATGAGAAAGATAAAGAAAAAATTGAGAAAAAACCACAGAGAGTGAGAGAGGGCATGAGGACAAACATGCATGCTCTTTCTGGTTGAACTTCCATGTTAACATTGTTTCTGTTTGTTGTTTAACACATGAATTCAGATCTTTCATAGACACAGACTCATCTTCCAACCAGTCAGAAACTTTAACACCCACTCTTCATTATCCGGTATTTATACCGCCAGATTGGACTTTCATATGGAAGCCTGGAGCAATGCTGGTACAGATGGTAAGATGACTCTGAAGAGATTGATGACTCTGAAGAAATACACAGTATTAAGTTAGAAGGTGCAAATGTTAACATTCCAATGCAGAAAAGAAATATTTCTTGCATACATTTCCCAGGTTTGTTTTCTCATGCATTACAAAGAGGAACAAAAAGCCCTCGACACACCTTGTAGCTGGCAAATGAATGATAAAATTACTTTAGTTTCTTTTGTATGTCAACTGTTCATGCCTCAGGTACTTAACCTTTACTTTAAAAACATGGTTCAGATCCTAGCCTTGAAGGTAGGTGGGAAGGGGGGGATGGTATTCCTGTAAATGTTTCATTTAACAAAGGCAGTTCTATAAGAAAGTTCAGTGGTGAGACTCTGAATGGTATTTATTGTTTCAGATTTCAGGGCTTCCATACATCTGCTGCCCATCAAAGGCAGATACCACATTCATATTAAGTGCCCTGTCTGAAAAAAAAATAAAAGCAGCACTCTCTTCTCCATGGCTCAGACTCCAGGATTATGTGAGATCGGAAGCTGCAGGAAGTCAAAGTTCTAATTTGCTGTAAAGATGATCAGCAAGAAAATCTCCTGTTATAAAGGGGAAGGGAAATTTTACTTATCTTTTTACATCATGGATCCAGATTCAGAACTATCCCTATTCAGAAAAGCTCTTAACACATGTTCTTCTGTGTCTCCATGCTCAGCAAAGTGTCTAAGAACTTAGCTGAAGCAGAGACCTAAAGAAGAACTATTTATATTTACACTAACTAAACAGCTCATTTTACCAGGCCCATTACATGATTTCTGACTTTATTAGGTCTGTAATGTATATTTCACCCATGGTGAGAAACATGCTCATTCATTTCTTATGATATCATAGTCTTCTCCATGGTAATCTGGTGCTATGCGAAGAAAAACAATAGAAGAGAAAACTTTTCATGCCAAGATGAAGACAGATAAGGAATTATGTTCAGCTGGGTGGGAGAATATATAAGAGGAACAAAACCACAGAGCCTCTGGTTCTGAGGATCTGATTTATTTAGTATCTGGCATTGGCCATAAAGTGTGGGCAATGAAAAGCGTAGCTGACCTCAATGCCTCCTTAGCAGCAATCAGAAATTCATTTCAATGTGTGAGCATTTAATTAGCTTCACTGAGTTTACAAGACCTTCAGTCATTTTAAGATACTTGAGGCAACTACCCCACACATAAGATTACCCTGAATCTGGAATGCCAGCCACTTAGGAAGAATGTCTGGAGAGTTTTAATTGAAGGGGACTCCTTTGTTTTTATATCCATTTGATGTGTCATTACCATTTCCTCCACCACTAATTTACACCGAGGGACTCAACTATTCCAAACAATTGTTTTAATCAGTAAATTACAGAAAAACCTTCAAGAAAGTTTAAGGTTGTCTGTATCTAGGAAAAGTCAAATGGCACCATTAAATTTTTACAGTTAATCTAATTGTTACACAGTGCAGTCACTGTACCACTTCAGGCATCTGGGGAAAGTCATCACTTTCCCCCTTGTTTTACAGAGGACCTGAAATGTATTTGCTGCATGCATTTACTGCATGATACAGTAAATATATATGGAGTGGGATTAACTAACAGGAGGCAATTACTAATTTTATTATGGCTTCACGAGGTCTGTATATCAAGCTCCTCTCCCTGGCAGGATGAGGAATTGCTAAATACAGCTAATTTCTGGGCTGATCTTATTTATATACCGGACGCTAATCCTCTTCACATATCTCATGTGCTTCTTTCTTCTCAGAGATATTGTCCCTCAGTGACGTCCTCCTAGTATTTCATTAAATGCCTTCAGCCTCAGTAAATTACGGCGCTTTAAAAACACTGAGTTTAGCATTTAAAAAGAGAGAGAGAGTTTCTGTACGCTGCCATGGGATAAGGTGCAGTGAAAATCCCATACAAGCTAACTGTATTTCCTAATCAAATGGGTGTAACAGATGGCTGCTAGAGCAAGCCATCACAATGGAAATATCTGCAGTTCTCATGGTAACGGAATCTGCCAGGTCTGAGGGATTTGCTGTTTTCCAGGACATCTGAGCTGCAATCTCTTTCGAGCTGTCTAGCAGTCTCAGTCTCGCTCTCTCTCACTCTCTCAGCATGATGGAGATAGAGTTGAAAGGTGGAGCCTGATTTTGCATTCCAGCTGTGATTAAAGACATGCACACACAAATGCACACATATGCACACGTACACACACACACACAGAATCAATGGGACTGCATATTCATTATGCTATCTAGAACCTCATTAACCACTCAGCCAGAACAGCAAGAAAATTTTAATATTTCTCCGTCTTTAGAGAGGGAAAGAAAGAAGTGTAATGGGAGAGAGGGGGGAGAGAGGAAGATAGCATGTGTGTGGGGAATTAAGATTCACGAGACGTACCTTTTAATAAAGATATGGAGCAATGTTAAAACTAGCAGTTGTTTCCATTTCATGGCGGTATGTCAAGATGACTTAACATAGCAGAGTGAAACACCTGGCCTGAAAAAAAAATAAAATCGTTATGTTGAATTTCCAAAACATAATATAGAATCTATGGAAGAAGGAGAAGAAAAAGAAAAAATATAGCAACTGCGTACCTTAATACTAAGTAAAAGCATGTGACAGACCTCCTGGTATTGTGTAATTAGAAAGGTGATCCTTCTCATAAGGTGTAGGATAGCATAAAGACAAAGAGCTTTAATTATAAATCTAAAGAATTGGGTTTAAATCCATAAGGCTCACTTAAAAGGTTCTTATATTTCTGCATGCAATTCAGAATCATCAACAGGAAGAAAATAATCATTCAGGAGACTTTTATTAAAGTCCTTTCCTTCAAATCCCTATCAATTTAAAGAAATAAGAAGAAGCATACTGCCTTCTTTGCTAGACTACCTGCTAGAAAGCACACAGAGAGTTGATTCACAGCTGCCTATTCTCTCGGGTATTTGAGCCTGAAGATCAGACAACATGTAAGAATTCAGCCATGGCTCAAAATGGAAACAAAGACGACCATTCTTAAAGCAATGTGAAATGAAAAACTACAGGCTGTAGACTGTAGACCTTAGCATGCTGATCCACCACATTGTCCTTGAGGGTACTAAACTTAAATATATGTGACAGCCAAAGAGATGGGAAAAATGCTTTCCAGAATAAAATGACCCAATCTCCTTCTTTTTCGTGATGTAGAATAAACCAGGAAATATAAGCTCCTCAAGTACCCACTCAAGAACTGGGTATTCTAAGATGGTGTTGCCTACCTAATTGTGCATCACTGAAGAACATTTTTATGTGACCTTTTCCCTGTCACGAGTCTATTCCTCTGCAGTAATGACTTCTGGATAAGAGATTTAATTCTTATGTTGGGTTGATTAGTTTCACTTGCAACAGTTCTGCGACAGGCCTCTTGAGAGGCCTCCAAACCTGTTAACTAGCTAGAAATAGCTGTTGCTGGCAAGCAAAGATGGCTGCAACAACAGCTAAATAGAGATAATGGTTTGCATTCAGCACCAAAACATATAGCAATATGAGCGGTACAGACAGTCATGTCTGCTCACAGTGAGCAACGACTTAATCTACAAGCAGTTCCTCACAGTGCAGTAGGGCTCCTCATGCTGCAAGGTGCAGGGTTTCTTAGCATGAGTTAGCAGCACTCAAATCCATGTCTACTGTATGCCACTTCTGTGCAAACTAAATAACACAGTTGTTCCTTCACCTGACTATGAGAGCCAGCCACTCTTGGACTGACTTTCAAAATTATGTCACATTCAACTGAGTCAGTAGAAGATTTCAGTTCCTTTCTTAAAATACAGAAGTCATTTGCAACTGGAAAAATGGTGCATAGTTTTACCTTTTAACAGGTAATCAGTTCTGGTTGGGATGTGGGGGTTATAAAAGAACATGTACAGGTAGTTCTTGTTCATCCTCCCACTATACGAGGTGCTGTGTGTCTGTGTTTCCCCATAAAGTCAATTAAGATTCACAATGCCATGGGGACACATACCTTTCTTTATGTTGCATTCAGCACTATTGTAGATACAAATTCTGCAAATACAGCCTCAATGTGGTTGGTTAAAAATTATTTTTCACTCAACTTGGAATACATCCAGGGCTAAGCAGCAACCATCCCAGCCTTAGTAATGATGCAAGAAACCATGAAACTCTCTTACACATTCTTACTTGATAAAGCAGCCCTCCAAGTAACTAACTGTTTGTCCTAGTTAGAACAGCTGGGACCGATTCATCATTGGATGGGTGTA